GTGGATTTGAGGAGAGAGGGGGTCCCATCCCACCCCCCCAGCCCGGGGCAGGAGAAGGGACAGTGAGATGAACCAGCCCTGTCCCCCCAAAGCCAGGGCACAGGGGGGCATTGACCCCACAGGGAGGGTCAGTGGGGGCACGAGGGGTATTGATCCCCCAAAAAGGGCCAGTGAGGGCACAGGGGTGTGTTGGCCCCCAAAAAGGGTCAGTGGGGGCACAGGGGGGCATTGAGCCCCCAAAGAGGGTCAGTGGGGGCACAGGGGTGTGTTGCCCCTGAAAAAGGGTCACTGAGGGCACAGGGGGGCATTGAGCCCCCAAAGAGAGTCACTGGGGGCACAGGGGGGTGTTTCCCCCAAAAAAGGGCCATTGGGGGCACAGGGGTGTGTTGGGCCCCCAAAAAGGATCTGTGGGGGCATGAGGTGCATTGCCCCCCAAAAAGGGTCACTGGGGGCACAGGGGTGTGTTGCCCCCCCAAAGAAGGTCACTGGGGTCATGGGGTGCTTTGTCCCCCAAAAAAGGTCACTGGGGGCACAGGGGAGTGTTGGGCCCCCAAAAAAGGGTCATTGGGGGCACAGGGGTGTGTTGGGCCCCCAAATAGGGTCATTAGGGGCACAGGGGTGTGTTGCCCCCCCAAATAGGGTCACTGGGGGCACAGGGGTGTGTTGCCCCCCCCAAGAAGGTCATTGGGGTCATGGGGTGCTTTGTCCCCCAAAAAAGGTCATTGGGGGCACAGGGGAGTGTTGGGCCCCCAAAAAGGGTCATTGGGGGCACAGGGGTGTGTTGGGCCCCCAAAGAGGGTCAGAGGGGGCACAGGGATGGGGGCACAGGGGTGTGTTGCCCACCAGGGAGGGTCACTGTGGGCAGGGCTGGGGGCACAGGAAAGGCACGTGAGGCCCAGGGGAGCTCCATCCATGGGGTGCTGAGGGATCCCTGGGAATGGGCAGGGAGGGACCTGCAGAGCCCTGGGGAGAGGAGCCCCAACCTACACCCTGCTCTGCCCTGCCCTGGGCACACCACGGGCTGTGCCCCAACTCCTGCCCCCCAAATCACCCCCCAGCTACAATTTGAGACAGTTTGGGGCAGGAAAAACCTGAGGTCCAAAAAAACCCCCAACCCCAAATCCTGGATGGGAGGAACAGCTTCTCCCTCTGGAGTGGGGCTGTGCAGGGAGGAGGGGGTTGGAGCAGGCAGGGACATCCCTGCTGTCCCTGCAGGGTGGGCAGGGGGGGATCAGAGCCCCAGGGATGGCCCAGAGCCCCTGGAATGGCTCAGAACCTCAGGAAGGGCTCAGCATCCCTGGAAGGGCTCAAAACTTCAGGGATGGCTCAACATCCCTGGAAGGGCTCAGAGCCCCAGGGATGGCTCAGCATTCCTAGAAGGGCTCAAAACTTCAGGGATGGCTCAACATCCCTGGAAGGGCTCAGCATCCCTGGAATAGCTCAGAGCCCCAGGAATGGCTCAACATCCCTGGAATGCCTCAGCATTCCTGGAATGGCTCAGAGCCCCAGGAAGGGCTCAGCATCCCTGGAGGGGCTCAGAACTTCAGGGATGGCTCAACACCCCTGGAATAGCTCAGAGCCCCAGGGATGGCTCAGCATTCCCGGAATGGCTCAGAGCCCCAGGAAGGGCTCAACATTCCTGGAATGCCCAGGCTGGGCTCAGCCCCTGCCCTGCAGGGCTGGCTTAGTGTTTG